GATCTGTTTAAGCCATGCTTTATCCTTTATTCTGTACATTACTATCAGTATGAAGTTTGAGCTTCAGCGTTAAGACTGCAATTAAGAGCTTCCAGGTATTTGATTTCCTTTTGGGTTGGAATAGGACAATGATAGGATTAAGTTCAGATTTCCTTGCTCTTTTTTACATGGCATTCCAGGTGAATGCATGCAGAAATCTGTATTGTTGGTAATTATCCATATGGCACGCATGTAATTTTATTTTTGGATGCAGGTGCTCACTTGAAAAATAATGCAAAAACAGTTATCATTAGCTGAAATGTGGGGGGCAGGATGGGAGTGCTGATTCTTAAGTGCTTGGGAAAAGGGAGCCAGATACACATTATCAGCTGCAATCAGAGTGTGTGAGGTCCCATGCACTTACTGGTGCTCTAATGATTGAAGAACCACAAAGTTCTTTACTTTTTATTTCCCTCTACAGATCTAAACAGTAATTATCATCACAGAGAAAAGTCTTCACTAGAAAAATAAATAAACACAAAAGTTCATACAAAAACTCACAAAACAAAGAGACTTTAAGGAAAATTATGATATTTGCATACTACATTAAACATAGTAAATACACTTGAGACCACACAGCTAGGTTTGCAACACTATATGAAAATATAAGGAAAACTTTACAATGGAGTGAGATGCTTGTATTGTCCTATATTTACACATTGCCACACAATCGATTATAATAAAATCTGACTGGTCTCTTTCAATTTAAGTATTAAAGTAGTACATTCATGTATTAAAATAATGATTTCTAATACACTCTATGGATTAAGGAATTGTTAAAACACCACATGAAACCATAATATTGATGGCTACAGTTTTTCAATTCCTAATATATTTAATGCATTATACACAAATATACTGTATGTATTACATGGATAAGTTTGTAACGTTTGCTAAGAAATGTACATTTCAAATTTACATGCATCTAACTTCTGCAGTCAGACAGCCAGAGGTGAAATATAACACCATAGATCGATCTGGCTCTTTTGAAAGACCTGTGACAAAGGAGGTCTATAACTTTGGAAAGAGACCACATCTCTGCGTGCTGACTCTGTACACAGATGTAGGTTGGGACTGTTTGACTGAATCTTGTTATGTTAAATAATAACACACTTTTTTGCTAGTTTCCCTGATTCTTATTGGTTTTAAATTGGCTTATGTTCCTTGTGATTCTGTCTATTTCCATTGTTTTTAAATTTACTTATTTTCCTTGTGATTCTATTTCCATCTCTGCTCTTTTCAGCAAACTTTCTTATCTGATTGTGAAGATCTAATCATAGTATGTGTATTTTTGCTCACAGGTCTAAACAGACACAATACATAGCTTGTGAAAGACGTCTGCCTAAACATTGCTTTTTTTGTGTTTATTTAGATTGTCATGGTAAACATGGAAATGTTCCTGTATTATCTTTCTCATTGATAGCTTCTCCTTTCTCCTGCACTACAGAATTGTAAATCTATATCCACCTTTATTGTTTTAAACTGCAACACACCTAGAATCAAGGAAAAAAAGAAATGCTGAAATGTTATTACACTGATTTGATTCTTAGCAAAGAAATACCCAACACCTAATTTGTGCAATTACTCAATTGAGTTTAAAGTCACATGCATTTTTAAAATTTGAATGTACCTTCTTTTCAGAATATCATCTTATCTTTAAATATAGGATGCCTCAATAATTCTGATATAATTACTGGACTTTCTATATTAAACATGATATGCTGTAATTGGCAAATGCATCTAAATTCTACAAAATGACTGCAATTGTATATAGTATCCTTATCATTTACTCACTTGTAATATCTCCAACAGAATTTTTAATCTTATCCAGTAAGCACAGTAAATGTTAAGTAAGCATGTGATGTAACTAGACCATTAACCTGATAACCACAATCATCTGTGTCATTACCTGTACTGCCTACTGAAGAAATCAAGGTGTAAATTACCGTACTTATCTCACAGAACAGTCCAACACATGTCATTCTGTCTATAAAAGCACAGGTAGTATTTTATTTGGGAGTATTTATGGTCTGACTGGGATTGACAGCTACTTTAATCTATTACTATTAGTTTTGTAGGTGTGCGTGTGGTGGGGGGGGTATTGTGCATTAAAATGTGTTTCTAAGATATCTGGGCAACACAATGCCCACTTCCTTATATCTGTTAGGTGTATAGAACATTTGCTTGTCAGTGTTTCTAAGCATGATCCTTTGCTTTTCAGCTTCTTATCCTCTGGAAAGGGTGCGTACAGATTACTCATTTTTTTACATGACTTGTGCTACAGTATATACAGTAATTTTAAAAGCACAGGAAGCCTGGGACCACATTTTTTCATTCCATTTTACTACATTCAAGTTCAAGTTTCAAGTTTATTGTCATTACACTCATATACATGGTATATGGTATAACGAAATGCTATTTAGCTAGCTCTCGGACATAAGTAGTACAAAGAGGAAAAACAACAATACAATTGTGTAGCAAAAGAAAGAGAGAGACAACAGGCAGCGTGCAAAAAACAACAACAGACGATGTGGAAAAAAACAACAACAGGCAATGTGCAAAAAACAACAACAGGCAATGTGCAAAACAACAAAAAGGTAACAGGTTATGTGCAAAAATATGCATTAACAGAATAAAAATAAAGGGATAGACATTATGGGGAGTGAGCTTTTGACATGTATGGTAGAGGTAGATTTTCAATGTGTGTTTGGGTTTTTGGTAAGAAAGAAAGGAAGAAGGCACTGTGAGGTTCAGATCATAGGTGAGAGGTGAGGTGAGAGTGAGAGAGGCTGGGAGTTTAATAGTTTCATAGTGCGGGGGTAAAAACTGTCTCCGAGTCTGGTAGTCCGGGCCGGAATGCTCCGGTACCGTTTTCCAGATGGTTCCAGATATTTCCAGATACATAATGTCGGAGTGAACGAGAAGTTCCCCCTACCCCCCGTAAGGCAGGTTGTCTGCCTGCCAGACTGACTGAGGCCCTAATGAGGTTGTCACAGGGCGGGCAGGAGGGGTGCCCAAGTGGCTTCTTTCAAAACAGACCGCGGGCCCAGCCTCAAGAGCACTCAGGTGCACAGGTGGTGGTTTATTTGGATGCCGCTCCTCTCAAACCCCACAGAAAACTATATACAGTGCAAAAAATAACAAAAAGAAGGATAATAAAAATAAGTAAAAGTTGACGTGTGTTGTGCGTGTACTGTCCGCGGACAGTGGCAGAGATCCCTCTGTCACACAGGTTGCGTTGTTCGCAGCTTCTCCAGATCCTTTCCTTCTCCATGATTGTAACCTTTTCATCGCTTTGGGAAAGTTTTAGCATTGCCTCACCTGTCCGGAGAGCTTGGTCATTTTTGTCATCTCCTGGGACTGCCTTGAAGCCTTGTGCTTGTGAGGAAGCCTGGCCCACATAATGACACACCTGAAGAAGGCTCCACGGCCGAAACGTTGTGTTCTCTTTCTTCTTTTTTTCAGCATGGAATAAACCTATTACTTGTTCCTTTGCTGGCCCACATAATGTCATGGGCTGGGCATCGGGAACTGGTTCAGTCCTCTTTGGTGATAATGTAACTCATGAGAGCGACAGGGGAATGAATTGTGAGGCTTACTCACTTCAGCACTTCACTCTGCAGCGTGACAATGACCCCGCAAATACAGCCAGGGCAGCCACAGGTGTTCAGCTGCAGAAAGAAGAGCAGAATCTCAAGACTGAGCATGTTCATCTTCAGATTCAAATCCAATTCAGCAAACAGTTGAGAAGCTGAAGTCGGAACTCCTCAAGGACAGGCAAGAACACAGAATGGTTGAAGCAAAGCATTTGAAATTATTCTAAATGGATCGCTAACTGCGTGCAATAATAGGCTCAAAGCGCTAATGCAAAAAAAAAAATACAGACATCTACACGGTAAAGTATACTTAAACTGATACTTTCACTTGAAATCACGCGGTTCAAGAGAAAATTTGAATGCATGGAATTAATACAAAATGAAAACGTAGACTGTATGGTCCTTTATAAACTCTCTTGAAAAAACCAATATGCATTGAAACAACGATTGTACCGTCCTTCGGATGAGACGTAAAACCGAGGTCCTGACTCTCTGTGGTCATTAAAAATCCCAGGGCGTTTCTCGAAAAGAGTAACCCCGGCGTCCTGGCCAAATTTCCCATTGCCCTTAACCAATCAAGGCCTCCTAATAATCCCCATCTATGAATTGGCTTCATTACTCTCTGCTCTCCTCCCCACTGATAGCTGATGTGTGGTGAGCGTTCTGGCGCACTATGGCTGCCGACGCATCATCCAGGTGGGGCTGCGCATTGGTGGTGGTGGAGGGGAGTCCCCATTACCTGTAAAGCGCTTTGAGTGGAGTGTTATTATTATTATTATTATTATTATTACTCGGGTAATGTAACAGACTTGGTTTAAACGATACAACCGCATTGGAGGTGCTACATAATCAAATGCCCACTATGTCTGACGTACTTACGGTAGTCTTGAAGGCGCTTGGAGAAATGTAGTATAATAATAGCTTCGTACACTTTAGATTTTTATTTTGTATTAAGACTACAAAAACAGAAGATTACTCCTTCAAATAAAAAAAATAAAGTCCATATAATGAGCATTCACAGGGTAGTTTCCTTAGAGTGTCTTTAATTACAAAATGTTAAATAAATATTGTAGTTAGAAACATATTTAAGTAAACAATCAAATGCAAGACCTTAAAATGAAACTGCTTTTACTCAGCATGGATGGTGTCTAAGAACCTGTACGCTGCGTCGGAACCTCACGAAATGTTCCGGACATTAACGAAGCAAGGAAGACGTAATAGAGTAGGTGTTGAATGCGGTTGTGTTAAATAAAACCACGAATATTGAAACGGAGTTGGAAAACCAAAATCAAAACTGAAACTGATTAATGACTCCATGCACTCAATGTCCTAGTTTTTGTTTCTGTATTGTGCCTTTCACTGGACTGGGCGAATCTCAAAAGCAAGAAATACATGTCTTATTTCTCCATCAAGAGGGCGTTAAAGCCAGATTTCCTTTACTTTTCCGAGGTTGTTTCTAACAATTGTAACAGCTTTTCTATCCAACATCTTATTAATTTCTTATAATTATGGATTTAAATGGTTCCACGTCGACAACCACAGGACGTCAACGAGAAAATGCTGTTCGGGATAACTTTATCACGATGCCCGTAAAGAAAAAAAGCAGATGCCCCGTGTTAACGAAAAACGGTGGATTGAAAACCCGTAGCAAGTTTTGCGCCGTGGAGTTGAAAGGAAAGAAAGAGAACCGATTTAAAGACCCCGAAGAGCTTTCAGAAGGAGGTCTACAACGTAACGCAAAAGAAGGGCGAGAGAAGAAAAAGGGGTTTTGCAGGAATTCAGAGGAGAGCCTTCCGGGGTCATGCCAGAGAAAGTCTGAGATGTGGGGAAGTGGGTCCCCTCACTTGAAGAAGGATGGGGAGGAGGCGCTGGTCAATTTGTTGAGACATCGTTTAAAGTATTTTGCAGGGTGTTAGAACCCTACTTCCCAGAATCACGCTACTGTTCCGGAGTTCCAGGATCTTGAAGAATCGCCCGCTTCCCCACACTCACCGCGCAACCATAAAGGAGTCTGGCACACAGCACGTGGAAAAGTAACTGTGTCTGTAGATGGATGGTACCAGAGAGAGCTGTCGGCATCCTTCCTAATTCTAGGTATTTCTGTTTGCTTCTACATCCCAGCAGATAGCAGGGCACAGCCTGCATTTCTTTAATCTAAATGGGAGTCCTCTTCCACACACAGTACCTAGGAGATGATCCTAAAGTGCCTTGAACGCGCTCTTGATAAATTCGTCATATCGGAGGATAAGGTATTGCTTGTGATTGTTGAGGATGGGTCAAACGTTTTTTTTTTTAGAAAAAGCCTTGAAACGAAGTGGGGAGACTGTGGTGAATATTGGAGATTATTAGGAGGACTGGGAAGAAGAGTGTAGGGATCATACTGATGCTTCAATAGAGGGCGGAGAAAGCGTTCTTAGCGGTGAGTACAGAGATTTTATTAGTTTTTTCTTCTTCCTGTTTGAACAACACATGACTTTTTAAGAATTCTCCTAACTGCTGTAAAACTATATCAATTTTAATAATAATAAATCCCGAGGCTTTAGGACCCACACAGACTGCAGGGTGAGCCTCCCCTGCTGGCCCCACTAACCAGCAGCAACCTTAGTTTTTAGACCCAGGAGGTACTGAGTACCATCCAGGTACTGAAAAGTTTCACACCTGCTTAGTTTCAGTGGGTTGTCAGTTGTGAATTGCAGGGTGATATGGCTGCTAGTAAGTCTGCCCTGCCTGCCTAAGATCTTTAAGAAAAATAAGCATATACAGTACATTCCCTCGCAAAGTATCATAACTACTAAAAAAAGTGCATAAAATCTGACTTATGTTTCACAGACTTTATCTGTACTTAAACTATTTGTAAATTTTAAGTTACATAAATATATATACACACATGAAGAAGCCAGTTTCCTTTATTGAAATTCATTTTTGGACATTCCTGCTTACAGTATTTCAAATGTCCAGTTTAAAGACTGGAAACAAAATCTATATTTTTTCATTACAGGGTGCTGATAATGTGGTGCCAACAGCACAAACTTACAAAATTACATTTTGCGGGATGTTGAACTGTCCAGATACAGAAGAATCCCAAGCCTGGCACACACACAACAGTTTCTCATTACTAATACCTATAGATATCCAAGCAATACACAGCAATCTAAGCAATTTTAGCCATCAGCTATATCACCCTGCAGCTCATAACTTGTAACCCACTGGAGCTCAAGTGGTCAGTACCTGGATGGGAGACCTCCTGGGAAAAACTAAGATTGCTGCTGGAAGAGGTGTCAGTGAGGCCAGTAGGGGGCGCTCACCCTCCACTACATGTGGCTCTTAATACCCCAGTCTAGTGAAGGGGACACTAGGGCTGGGCAATATGATCTCAAATCAATATCATGATAATTTCACACATTTACCTCGATATCGATAAATTAACGATAATTGTTTTTGTAACCCTTGATATGATATGCTGAAAGATCATGTTTTAAATATGCTAAACTATTGAAGCTGCACACACTTCATCTTATCTCAATGTCTTACAAATCATTTAAGGACATAATTCATGGAAACACAAACAGAATAACTTTTAATGAAAAAAAAATATTGAACATTTTAACATATTGCACAATGAACATTTATGAAAAATATAGGACTTTGAATATTTATTAAATGCCGACTAAATCTAAATGTTTCACATGTTATAGATTTTCAGTACAAATTATGCTAGAAATCAAAATATGCATCTTATGAAAAAAGATTACTTTTAAATTGTTTTACAGTAAAAGGCAAGTTGAA